TTGCCCACTCCAAATTGATTCCCGACTGACCGGTAGCTGTCTGGCGTTGCAAGCTTCCAAAGGGCTATCGCCACTCGCTTCTCAATTGTGAGGGCTGGTATTCTGGCGCTTCAGGGTAGGGGAAAGCGAGTCACAAAGTTCCATGAAAGTGCCCTTACGCATGCGAAAGTTTCGCAGCCACTGGGAATCGTCCCAGACCTGCAACACGATTCGGTCCCACCAGTATGTGCTTGTTTCCCGGGCCCAGAATCGGCGTTCCACAGCATGAACCTACCCCAGTAACACCATGATTTGCACATTGCTGGGGCCCGTAGCTTGTGTGAGGGCTGTGTCCACGTCAATTTCCTCATCACTCTCGTCTCTGCGCTGCAATCGCCTCATCGGCTGGTCCTGGTTTTGCTTTGGCATGTCCTGGCTCTGCATATACTCCAGGACAATGCGCGTGGTGTTCATAGTGCTCATAATTGCCGTGGTGATCCATGATCCCAGTGCTATGGCGTCTGGTCTGAAAAAAGGTGCGACTGACGACATGGCGTACAGGTACAGGGAATTAAAATCAACAAAGGTGGCTGTGCATCAGGGAGAAACACAAACAACTGTCACACAGAATGGCCCCCCCAAAGATTGAACTCAAAACCCTGGGTTTAGCAGGCCGTTGATTTCACGGAGGGAGGGGGAAGCAAATGAATACATCTATTTTTTACATCTTAAGCTGGCAGCAGACGGTGCAGCATGACTGATAGCCCTCGGCATCTTCTGGGTGCTTGATACTGTACTACGATTGCTAGCCATCATCGTCGAGATGGTTCAATAGGACTGCCGGCAGGACTGAGTCTCCAGGAGACAAAGCATGTCTGCCCAGGTGCCCCTGATTGAACTGGAATACGACGATGATGGATATCAATCTTAGTACACCATCTACTGCCAAAAGGCAAGGGGCTGCTGCTGTGTAGCAATGCAATACCACGTCTGCCGGCACCCAGATGACATATGGTGACGGTGAGCTGAGCTGAGCGGGCTCCATGCTTGCCGTGGTATGTTGTCTGCACAGGTAACCCAGGTAAAAAGGCATGAATCGATTGTCTGCCATTGTTCTGACGGAGGGGGAGGGGCCTGACGGCATGTACCCAGAACCCCCGCGACACTGTTTTGCATCATCAGGCATTGGGATCTCAACCCAGAATTCCAATGGGCGGCGGAGACTGTGGGAACTGTGGGATAGCTACCCACAGTGCAACGCTCCGGAAGTCGACGCTAGCCTCGGTACTGTGGACGCGGTCCGCCAGCTTCATGCACTTAGAGCATTTTATGTGGGGACATAAAACCGATATCTATAAAACCGGCTTCTATAAATTCGACCTAATTTCGTAGTGTAGACATAGCCTGCATTTTTAGCGTGTCAATGCACTGGACTTTGGCAGTTTACAGGCTTTACTCTTCTGTCTTCCTGGAATGATGTCAAGGGACAGACTTCTGTGAGTATTCCTGGCTGAGCACCTCTACTTTGCTCAGCTAATATGAAGACCCATGTTTATGTAAGGCTTGTGGCTCAGCATTTCTAAACACCCTGAACTTGCTGAGCTGAAGTGAAAGCACAGGTCTCTGGACGTCACTGGCTCAGCTGAACTGGGCAATTTTTGACAACAATTTTCCTTGTTTATTAATAGCTTCATATTTTTAAACATTTAGGTTGATTTGCTTAAATCAGGGTTTCATTAGATCATTTTTGAGAGCAAGGAATTTCATATAATATAAGCTTTGGTGTTTGGGAAAACCTTTGTGTGATTTGTTAAAATTTAGCATGTTTACAATCTGGTGAAAATTAATTAGGGCTTGAGTTGCTTTGTTCCAGTAGATTCACTATTTTACAGCATTGCAGGAATCTCCCATTAAATCCTTCTGCAGACACAAATATTTTAGGTTTGTTGTAGCAGTAGCACCAGAGGAAACATTTTAAGCAGTTTTGCAGAATCCATTTCTCCTTTTGGGGAGCTTCATTTTTGCAATCCTTCTCTCCTATCCTACTTCCTCTGGGCCACATAATTGTTGAGAGATTTGAGTCGGACAGGTCTCACAGGTTTGAACCGCGAGAAATTAAAAGAAAAAAAAAATGAGTGGGGATGCCAGTCCTGCCAAAAATCCCACTGTATAGATCTTAGAGAAAAAATATATCTAATAGCTTTTACAAATCTCTAGAAATCTAGAACAACTTTTCCATAAATCATAATCCTGCAGTTTTAAGTTCTTTATGATCTAGTCTGAGTATCGCCAGTTTGTGTGCGCAACTGCGGTAATAGCATGCACAAATGAGGCCCAAAATCTGTGCAGTTTTGCATGTGGCTCTAGCTATTTGAAAACTTGGCTTATTCTGTAAGCTGCAAAAATGCACTATGAGGCATAGTGTTTTGATGTGTGTGAAAGCCTTTCGTTGCACACTACAATGCCTGCCTAAGCCTTCTATTAACCTGTTTCAACATGCTTAGACATTTGTCACTGCTGGAAGTAGTAATGATGATCTTGCCTTTTAGGAATCCCAGAAGTTCGTGAGCATTTAAATCCTTTACCACTGGGAGTCAGGATTTCCTAATACAAACAGATTTATGTTGCATAATGCTGGGAGCTGGGGCTTGCTCTCATCTGCAGTGGGAAATTATATTTTCTAGCTGCATCACAGGCCATGTCTGTATTAGGAAAATGCATTGTCTTAGGAAGTATTTTAACAAAGATGTTTTTACTAATAGAATGTTAAACATGACTTGGCCCTTAAACATGAATGATTAAAAATGAATTTTCTGAGTACAGACAAGGCCATAGTATACCAGCCCAAGTAGAGTGGTATTTTCCAACTGTCTTTTGCATTAAAAATTGGCCATCATCATGTCCCATTTCCAGCCTGCTATATAGAAGCTAAAATGATGCCCACTCTTCCATAATGATCACTGTTTATTAGGATTTTATTAGCTGGCCATAAAACATTTATTCTTGGCTGAAATTTGGCATGCAAGGTCTTAGCAATGAAAATCATTATCATTTACTTTTTTCAACAAACTGCAATAAAAATCAGTGAAATGCATTTATTAAAACAGAAGCTCAGAAAAATAGCTCAATTTTTGCTGATGATATTTATATTACCAGCATGGATCTGAATGCTTAAAAAACCCATCTAAATGGTCCCCAAATTACAACTTGGAATGAGTGACCATGGAAACAGCGACCATGTCTCCGTTGCCTTCCGAATGGATTGGAAACAGCTTGAGTCAAGCTTAATGTGGACAAAGGGAAATTTGCCAGTACGCAGACAATTAGAGTTCTCTTCCTGAGTACTTCAAATGCAGCCCTTAAAGTGAGCTTTCAAAATGCCACAGTGTCTAAGTGTTTGCCTGTCTCTTTGTAGCACCGGACAATTATGTAAGAGTCTCCAAAAGCTCAGAACTGTGAGAATGGGCTTTGTGCTGAAAATGCAAATGGTTGTTTCCAATACATTTAGTGGACAATCTCCCCCTCATACTCTCGATGTAGCGAATTTTTAAACAAAGGTCCTTATTTCTTAACATTCTTTTCATTGTTTCAGGGAAGCTCAATGGGACAAACTGTTTCCTTCAAATAGATTTAGGGGGAAAAGCATTGCAGGGAGTCAGTTACAGAAATGAATGCCTTTTCAGTGTGTGGGCTTCATCAGCTAGTCCCTTACTCTCTAGTAAACCTGGTACTTTCAGATGAAGTTGGCCTTATCTTTGTGCACATTCATTTAACTCTGCCTCTCCCTGCTTTCGTGGGCAGCTTTCTAGCTTCAACTGAACTCTTTTCTGATCATGCACCCAAGCTCTAGTGCAACTTCAACTTGTTAAAAACATACATTCTACAAGCTGGGACATATTCAACTTTCAATCTGTGCACAAAGCTCTAATTGGGAGTGGAAATGTTTATGTTCATGGTGTGAGTGTGTGTGTGTATGCACACACACACACAGAAGTTAGATAAAAACATAAAATACTCTTGCTGAAAGGTTGCAACCTAACACTATTTTATTTCTTAGACTTCAGAATTATAACACACAAGACCCCAAAAATAGAGAGAGACAAAGCAGGCTGCTCCTTAAAACAGAGAGGTACAACTCACCCCACTTTACTTTAGGCTGGCTGCCTGCAAACTGATTGCTGATAGACCAAGAATTACACACAAGAAGCCATAAGAATAAGGGGAGAATATGACTATTTGTTTTGCATTATTTTCACATTATTTCACCAACTATAAACAGACATGTTAAAAACTGTTTGCATCTACAAACCTAAATTCTTGCCTACATTTTTATGGATGTGCTTTTGTGTGCACAAAAACTCTTGCTTGTTCATTTACTTCACTTTACTTAAAAAAAATCTCTCATTCAAGTTTTGGGGACATGGGCTATATATATTATATAATATAAATTCTAACCAAAATCCAAAATATATAATCCTTTTAAAACTCATCCCAAAGTTAGGACCCTCCCACTATTCAATACAATCCATTTAGCCCCTTTTCTCATGGGGGGAAAAGCTTGGAAAAAGATGAAATATTATAGAGTGACCTGGAGGTCAACAAATTCAGGTTCTGGTGAATTAATGGGGAAGTCAGTTCTACAGCAGAAGGCCCCCTCATTGGAAATATCAGGTGGAATTGCTCTCCATCTGTCAGTTAATTAGAGTCTTTCAGGAAGGGATCAAGGGACATTGTTTTGGCCAACCTTTTGTTTGGCCATAGGTTGATGCTCAGAGTGTTTCGTTATGATGGGTCAGGATCATATAGGGAGGGGGATGTTTGTGCGGCTACTATAAGCAGTTTAACTAATGTGTTGCTTGGTTTTAATTTTTGTCATGTCTCCAGATAGCACGGTGATGAATGCCTGAAAGTAAATGAAATATTAAATAAAATGCAGAGTCTTGAAAGCTAAAAAAGTCACTTAAATGTTCTCATCACCAGAATGTAATCAATTTTAATAATTGTAAACACCTCTTTTGTAGCTGGCAAAACGTGGATTAAATATTGTTATGATAAGCAGAACACTTGAAAAACTGCAGAAAGTAGCCACTGAAATTGGTAAGTGTTTAAATCTGAAGATAACTGTGACAGGCAGTGTTGTGTAATAGGGCACTGGATTCATGAGACCCAGGATTCTGTTCCCAAAGTGTTTACAAAACATTAACTCTCATACTACTCTGTGAAATAGATGAGTATCATTACCCCCCACTGACAGATAGGGATACTTTGTGAAGGCACAGAGATGAATTTTTAAACAGTCACATAAATGTGTGGTAGGGCTGGTTATTGAACCCACACCTCCTTATTCTCAATCATGTACTTTAACCCATAGAGAATACCTCCTCCTCCAGTATAGGAAGTGAGTTGAAAAGGATGACTCTTTTGACACATTCAGCCCCATGAGGTATAGTTGTGCCATAGGAGTTCCCAGAATTGGAATTCTACATGGACAGAAATCCAGAATTAAAAAAACATTTATCTCAAGTGTTGGAATGTAGAGTAAAATTTCCGCCTATTCAGACAGGAAGGCCTTTAAAAAAAATCAAGATAAGATTTGAGAAAAAAAGAGATTGAGTTTGAGCAGACAAGTAGAGCCATTATAGCTATTAGGCTACTAATGTAATACATTTTGTGTAGTGTATGTAAAACATCGATCAAACCATAAAACTAAGGCTATGTTTACACTACAAACCATTGGGCGGCAGTGTGTAATGTATGTATAGCTAAATGTCACATAGAGTTGCCAACTTTCTAACTGCAGAAAACCGAACACCCTTGCCCTGCCTGCCCCTTCCCCGAGGCTCCACCCCCCCATTCACTACATCCCCCCCCCCGTCACTTGCTCTCCCCCACCCTCGCTCACTCGCTCATTTTCACTGGGCTGGGGCAGAGGGTTGGGGTGTGGGAGGGGGTGAGGGCTCGGGATGAGGGGTTTGAGGTACAGGAGGGGGCTCCAGGCTGGGACAGGGGTTTGGGGGATGGGCGGGGGTATGGGCTCCGGGGGGGGGGTTGGGTGTGGGAGGGGGTTCTGAGCTGGGGCAGGGGTGTAGGAGGGGGTTTGGGGCACGGGCATCAGGCAGCGTTTACCTTAGGTGGCTCCCAGGTGCACGGGGCAGGGGCCTGCGGAGCCCCCATGGCCGTTCCTGAGCCAGAGGGACATGCCGGTTGCTTCCCGGGAGCTGCGCGGAGCCCGGCAGGGAGCCAGACAGCCCTGCTGTGGCCAATGGGATTTTTAGTGGCCCAGTCAGCAGTGCTGACCGGAGATGCCAGGGTCCCTTTTCAACCGGGTGTGCACACTATGGTTTGCAGCTACGTCTGTGTGTGTGAAAGGCTCTGGAAGAGAGGAGGCAGCAGAGAAAAGCTTCATCAGCTCCATGCCACCAGAGGCTTTCACAGTAGTGAGGAAAGGTGCTGCTGCTGGAGTCTTTCCCTGTAAATTTAGGGCTAGATACTGCAATTAGCTCAGGCTCCTCTGTGCTACTCAAGTGTGGGGGCTCAGCTGGCATAAACCTGACGGAGCTGGCTCCTGCATCTGCCATTTTCACCCCACAGCATAGGGGAGGGTGGGGGTGGGGGTGGGGGAGCAGGGAGGAAATGGGTTGGAGCTCTGCTCCACTCCAGAACACTGATTCTCTAAGTCATGCCAGGGCTGGCACAGACTGGCCCACAGAATCATGGGGCCATAATTGGCTTCCTGACAGCCTCCTTGCTATCCTGCCCCAAGCAGAGCTCAGATGTACAGAAGAAGTAAGCTCTTGCCAAATCTGAAGATATGCCGATAACTGAAGTGGAGTTAGAAGCTTGCCATTTCTGGGGAAATTAGGGTCTCCCTTCTCCCCCCACCAAAAGGCCAAGATCTGGTGACACTAGCTGGTGACATAAAAGAAACACATAGGAAAGTTAGATACAAAGTCCAATTCTGTATAGCTATAGAATCAGTTTCCATTTCACTGAGGGGAGCTCCTAGACTTTCTGGAGTCTATGTGCACCTGAAATGGTCTCTGCATTTCCATTGTTGACAAATGTGTGTGTTCAGATCACTGTTCAAGAAAGGGAGGAGGAGAAAGCCTTTCAACTGGTCCTAGATTCACTTAGCAAATCTTTCAACAAACCTGGTCGGAGGTTCAAGATGATTATGAAACCTGAAAGCAGGTTTAGTAGTAAATATTTCTCATGTGAGCCCCCTTGTTAGCAGAGTTATAATTTGAGCTCTCTAACAGAGAATTTCAGCTTTCATTTTTGAAGTCAGTCAGTCAGTCAACTTCTCTTCTATGTGAAGACAGCGTTGAAAATGTAAACGGGATATAAACCAAACAACCCAGAGACAGGATTTTGCAGCTGGATTCCACTTCTGCAGCAGGAGGGGTAGGTGTGGGGGAGGAGGAGAGATTATAGATTCTCCCATTTCCCTTTTATGTAAAATGAGTCAAAGTTGAGGTGTATCCCAAAGAGTTGCCTCAATAATTCTTCCCCAAATCCTTAGGCTGGCCCATCTTACAATGGTGTGATTATGAATAACACAAATAGGCTATATTTCAGAGGGAGGCTGCAAAATATTGTTTCACAACCTGCCCCCAAAATGCAAAGTCCAATTCTGCTTGTTAAAATGTTCATCTTACAAAGAAGCAAACTTTTAAAATAATTATATAAAATAGAGTTTGCATCAAAGATCTGTCAGCATGTTCATTTTCAATAAATTGCAACACTTCTCTTATAAACATTAAAATTGGGGAAAATGTTAGAAGTTTTGTATTATTTATATTATTTCTAGTAAGAGGGCTAAATTTTGTCTTGATATTTGGGCAGAGCGCCCACAGATTTCAGGGCAGAAATTGACTGTACATTTTCCTTAAAAAATGTGTTACGGAAAGTGCCTTTTGCTTATATTTTGATTACTCTTAAAAAGCAAGGGAGTTGAAACAGCTGCATGTAGTACAGAGTGCAACACAAAAGGGTGAACCAAGTTCTTTGGCTCATTCCTCTTGATTACAATTCTCTCTCTATTTATATATAAAGACACTTTGTGTTAATTACAGAACAGGCCACAGGTAGAAATGTGAAGATCATACAAGCTGACTTTACAAAAGATTACATATATGAGAATATTGAAGAATGTCTTCAAGGCTTAGAAATTGGCATTTTGGGTAAGTTAATTAGACCCATTAATTGAAGAGTATTTTGATAATACATTATATAAATATAAATGCATTTAAGTAATTGCAGCTTACTATGCAACTACAAATTGGCATCACTTGTTTTAGAACACGGTGTATATGACACTAACAAGCTGGTTTTAACATGCAGATGTTATTAAAACCAAGTGTGCACTTGCTTAATACACTGTTTTTAGTTTTTTATTATACAGGTTGTAGAGGTGAATCAAGGCACTCTATGGGTTCCCTATTTCTCTAATAGGGTACAGTAATTTCTTTACCATCTAAGCCAATCTATCACCTGCTGAGTAGTATCCATTTTATGTGGTGACTCTCCCTGTTTAGTCTCAATGAATTCATTTTCAGTATTTCTTTTACAGCTGTGTGGAATTCTTGCATTGAACCTGAAAACCACTATAAATGAACTTTTGGTTAAAGCTAACTGGAGTGATATGAATAGGAACAAAGTATTTTTTAAGTTTAATTAATAAAAAAAATCCAGTAATAGCCTGCTTTGGTTCTACTGAGGTCAATAGCGATGGCTTTGGTTTCAGTGGGAACAAGATGGGTCACTAACAGCATTTCTCTTCACATACAGCTTAAAAACTTCTTAAGAAGAAACCTTTTGTTTAACCAGTTAAACTATGCACTTCATCCAAATATAGTTCTTATTGTTCGGTTTCTTTCCCGATTAGTTAACAATGTTGGAATGCTTCATAATCCTCTTCCATGCCGTTTCCTTAATGGAGCAGACACAGACGAGGTAGGATTATATTGTAGTACTGTTGTTTTTTCTTGCAATGTAACAATTAGGGCCAGAGGTTCCATTTACTAAGGGACAGATCCTGCGCCTAGGGTGACCAGATGCCACAGATTAAATATCGGGACGCGGGGGGGGGGGGGAGGCCGGC